TCAGCAGCAAGCTCTGTGTATTCCAGACTGCGTTTCCGTTCTGTGTGTCTCCGTTACAGTGAAGGCCCCGTAATTTCCAGTTGGGATGTGTGTTCAAGCATTGCTTGACACTAAAATAATGAATAGGATGAATAAAACGTACTCTTGGAAAGAAACTCTAACTGGAACTTTACTGCTGTCTCTGTGCGCACTGGAAGTCCAGTCTGCTGACCTGAGTGCTAAGGGCTCGTGTTTGCTGCTTCGAAACACACAGTTTTGGCTCATGCATAATCAACAGAATTTTAAACTAAATTCTAATTGCAAGCCTGCGTATTCTGTCAAATTATCTTTAGATTCCGGTTATAGCTAAGCCCTTGAAGCTCCACCAGGAGGACGTAATTCCGTTGCAGTTGCATGGATATTACAGTATTTGATCCATAATGGGATCGTTCTTGCCGATTTTGGTGAACAAGCTAAGAACAGAGTAGTTCAACACTGGTCCTAGGTAGAAAGTGTTTCTGGAGCTGGTGGCTCTACGTAGGGCCCGGGGTAGAATTGGGGTGCTTTGTAACTGCACGGTCCTCAACTTTGTCACAGCAGTTCCTTCTCTCAAGCTAGAAGTGTTTTCCTAAGTACTGCACAGACTAATCTTCTGAAAACTGACAATAAAACCCGATTCCGGTTTTGCCCAACCCGACGGGGATGCTGAAGCGGGGGAGCTTATTCATCAGGATTACTGCTGCGGGCAGCACCTGGAGAGGGTGATTCACATCCTGGCAACACCAGGAGAGAAAACTGTTTGCTAAGACCTTTCAGTGCTTAATCAAACTGCGTTTCGTATCCCCAGTGCCCCCCACAGTGACTGAAGCAATAAAGCCGAATTTTCTGGAAAGCCCTGCGGCGGTGGCTCCCGGTTTTGTTCCTGCTGCGGTAACAGCATTCCCAGGAGAGGCTGAAGCTACTGACGGACCAAAAGGTGCGGCGTCAGGTACAGTCGCCCTGGTCTAAAGATTAGTGCTGGGCTTGTGCCCTTCGTGAGCAAGCTGTAATGGTGGAAGGAGATGGGATTGCCTCTTCTGAAGGAAACGCGGTGAGGTATTAACAAATCCCATCGTGGCTAAAGGCTTATGATACCTGAACTGTCTTGGTGAGAAATAGCAAGTCTACTCGACTTTTCAACCCTTGTGTCACAGTCCAGTAACTGATTTAATGATTCTTTACATTCTCAAATTTTTAGCTCCAGAAAAATGTTAAGGTGTGTCAAGAACGTGGTTATACCATGAGCCTGATGCTGGATATAAATACCTCAAAACCTGTCCATTGTAAAGACTGTCTTTAAAACAGAGTTTTTAAGCTATTTGTGTACAGCATCGGACTCGTGGTACATTTTGTCCCAGTCTTTGTCCAGTTTCCTTATGCTTCATTCCAGTGCTTTCCATGATTCACTAGGGAGCATCCCTACCAATTTTAATATCTATTTCTTTACTGTCTTATTCTTCTGTAAAATCACAATCTTTAATTTTGGAGCAGATCATGATACCACTTCAAATTAAAAAAAAAAAAAAACCCAAACAGGCAAAATCAAATGAAGGCTAGTGTGTAATGGATCTTTTTGGTTTGGTTCACTGGAATATTGGTTTTATCCAAATGGATCCTGAAGTGCTATTTTAAAAGGGACTTTTTCCATTTTTCTAATTTCTTTTCTTTTTCAGTTTAAGTATCTAATTCAAGATTTAAGATCTTTTCCATTGTTTGGGGAGGATATTTTTAGATGCGAGTCAAACAATCAGTAGAAATTTTCTTTTTTTTTTTAACATCTACTCAGCAACATGTCTGAGATGTTTGGGTCACGGTGCTGCACTACGCAGAGCATGGGCAGTGCTCGGGGCTGTTGAAATTAATAGCTGCAGAAGAGAAACCTCGTGCTTCTGGCTTTTGATAATTTGTAAAAACTTGCCTCTAGACAGCAGAAACATTAAACAAACTGACTGCAAAAACTCCTTTAAGGGGATTTTATGAAGACACTAACTTTAAATGCAGAGGTTTGGTTTTGCTGTGAACTGACAAATGTTATTTTGAAGCTAACAGCTCAGTGTTTAGTCGATTTTATGTAAAAAATGGACAAGGCCAAGCTGGGCATGAAGGAATGCAGGGCAGCGGGTGATTCACTGGATGGCAGTGTCTTTTGTGCCAAGAGTGCCAGTGCTCCTGCTCAAGTCGCAGCGCCATCCCACCCCTGAACAGCATAAACAATAGGTAAAATGAAGCGTGTATGGCTCTGGAATGCTTCAGGACTTTTTCCGCTGTTGGAATACACAGCTGGGCTCATAAAGGTGACACCAAAAGTTTCTGTGTCCTGCTATATAGGAAAAACCCCTCATTGTGATTCCTGTGTATGTTCTGTTGGAATATGTACAGGAATATATGAATATATTCTGTGTTGCTTGTGGCGGATCCAGCAGCTCTGGTCTCTTGCCAGCTAGGTAGCATCAGGTGTTTTTTAAACAAAAACAATGATAGAAAAACAATTTCTATCATTTTTCTAATGACAGATAAGTGGCTGATGTCCATTAGGAGCAGACACATGTCCAGCGCTGCTCAAGGATACAGATCATGGCGCACGAAGCTGTAGTAGGAAAAGCACTTGAGTGCATTGAGGACTCATAAAGACCGGTACAACCCGAGTGACTGCTGTAAGGGAGGGGAGAAAGTGATGCTGAAAGACAAGGAGACAGGGAACGAAAGCCCCGTCTTGTCTAGTCATAAAACCACGCTGTCAGGTATTTACATTCTGTGGTTTTTTATTGATTTCTGTGATCTGTGTTTCTGTAGCAGATGCAGCGTGTGTTCCTGCCTCGGATGTCCTGTCCCTTTCTGCAGAGAAAGCTGGGTCCGTTCTTGCAGGAGACGCCAAGCCTCCTCAAGCTGTGGATGCTGGATTTGGACCTACAGCAGGAGCCAACGCTCTGCAGGCTGCGGAGGTTGAGTTTGCTGTCAGCGATGCGTCCGCCCCAGCGGCAGCTGCGGGCTTCACCCCAGCAGCAGACGCCACATCCCGTTACGCTGTGGATTTGGAGTTTGCCCCAGCAGCAGATGTGGAATCTCACCATGCTGGGGATTTGGAGTTTGCCCCAGCAGCAGATGTGGAATCTCACCATGCCGGGGATTTGGAGTTTGCCCCGGCAGCAGATACGAAATCTCATCAAGCTATGGATTCTGAGTTTGCCCCGGCAGCAGATACGACATCTCCTCAAGCTATGGATTCTGAGTTTGCCCCGGCAGCAGATACGACATCTCATCAAGCTATGGATTCTGAGTTTGCCCCGGCAGCAGATGCAGAGTTTGCCCCTGCAGCAGAAGTCAACCATCATCGTGCCATGGATTCTGGGTTTGCTCCTGTAGCAGAAGCCGAGCCTCTTCCCACCATGGATTCTGGGTTGGCCCCTGCAGAAGCTGAGTCTGTCTCTGCAGCTGATGCTGAGGTTGCTGCATCTGAAGAGCTGATGACATCTGAGTCTTCTCTTGAGCAAGACAAGTCACCCTTCGACAAACCTCTGGCAGGTGAGCGTGCATGCCCAAAGCTTCCTTCAGGCTTGCACTAGCACGGCAGGTGGTGCGAGGAGGCTGCTGTAAGTTGGCATCGCACTAGCAGCACGCTCCTGGTGATGTGGAGCCACACATAGTGATGGCTACACGGGTGCGCAACGGTCTGAAGACTGTCAAGTAAAAAGCATATTTTATTAGTAGTTAAGGTTATGATATGCCTTGCACAAAACATCTTAAGTACAGCTCAGTTCTGCTGTCAGGATACAGACAGAGGAGGTGCTTCACGAGGATTTTTTTGCTTATAAAATATAAAACTAGAATATCTTAATGATTTTTTTTTTAATTTTTTTTTACTTGGCATTCTTAGCAGTGATGTATGTTTTTTAGGATAGCCATAGAGACATTTTAGTTCATCCCTGTTAGTACTTGGTTTTGTATCGCTATCATCCCCAGCTTATACAGAAATCTCCACAGATCCTGTAGGACACAGTCTTTTCAAACAAAGGTTCTTTTCTTGAAAACGGTTTCTGAATCCACTAACAAATTACTGTCAAAATATAGGAAATTGTACTGGGCAGAGGCAGTACATGTGGATTAATTGCAGAAGGAGTTGGAGCGAGATACTTGCTTTCTTACCTTCTAATACTCTTTAATTTAATGATAGGAATAAATTTCCAAAGAGAGAAGTTTTAACAAAAACCCCCTGCTAGAATGTAGTAACTGAGAGGCATAGGTGGGTGAATGAACGTGTAAATTCCGGACAACACGGGAAGGTGTGCTTTAGCACAACGCTTAGACTTTCAGGAGAGGAGAGCTGGTAGAAAGTGGTCCTCAAAAGCAGATTACCACTGTTTTGAAAGTGAGGAAAACCTTTCGTTTATTGTGGATGGGGAGGATTAGGTGAGGAAGTGTTTGGGTTTTTTTAATCTTGCTTAATCTGATCTAAATTAAAAATAATATGAATTTTTATTCTTTACATTCCGTTTGCAGAAGTGATTGCAAACGTGGAGCAAGAATCGCTGGTCGCAGAAGCTTGTGTCGATCTGTTGGAGAAGGCTGAAGACAGCAGACCACCTCCCAGCCACCACGAAGAGCATCTTCCCCAACAGACGAACCATCTTGCAGAACCAGCAGGTGAGAAATGCAAACCGCGCTATAAAACCGGAGCCAGCACTTCCCTATCAGCCAATTCTGCCCTGCCACCCAAGTTCTTTCTCACAGACACTGTTCTGTCCTTATCAGGGACAAAGCAACAAAGGTTTCATTTTAAGAAGGTTATTAGTGTGTGCAAACATGGGGACTGTTATAAATAGATGGTAGTCTTTACATTTGAAATTACCCTCATATAACTTGTCTTTTTTCTTCCTCATCCATAGTTGTTGTACCAATGTCTGTCGTAATTTTTATTTCTATTGAAAATTTAAATAACATTAATTACGTATAGAACTGTTCTCCGATGTAATTATGTCTTACAAATTAAAACTTGGTATAATTACGCGTAGCTAGGAATTTTGTAGTGTCTGCATGAATATATTCTCAGGCATATATGAATACTAGATGATTAGCATTAGATAGGCTCCAGATTGATAATGGAGTGTATTCTGGATTTGAATTCCAGTGGGAAGCTAGTATAGTCTGAATTTAATTGATTACAAAGAGGGGGGGAAACCCCTCCCCCCAAAAAAAACCCCACCCCTGTGCTTAAGCCCCAAGACTTCATGTTTTACCTCAACCTTGGCATGTCTGCCAAAATATAAAATTGCTGCTGAAAATGGGATTGTGAGGAGATAATACGTAGCAGACTACCCTATCTTATAACCTTCATCCCTATTAAAAATAAAACTAAAACCTCTACCCTTCTCAAGGCTTGCTTTTAAACTGCAGGTTGCCTGTATGCATAAGAACTGAAGCATTCTGTTCATATTTTTCATATTTCAGTGCCAGTAGAAGCAAAAGAAGCCGTTGCACTAGAAAATAAAGACCTTCTTCCAGAAAAATCTGTTACTACTGCGGATGTTACTGTTACAGAGACACAAAAGGAGGCGGCTGAACACAACCATGTCCAACACGCAGAACCTCAGCAAGAAAAAACCCTGCCAGAGCCCACAGGTAGAATATAAATAATAATTCAATTTTAGAATGGAAATACCCTCTGTGAACTATTCACCTTTTCCTACTGACTGCATTGCCACTTGAGCAAGCAGAAACCTTTTTTGCACCAGGCAGCTGTGCGGTTCTTTGCATTCATCGGTGATTCTGCTTGCACTTTGCCTCTGATCCCTGCCCTCTTAAATCGTCTTTCCCCTCCATGTTCAACGGACTAAAACCCTAAATACGGGTGCTACTAGTATTTTGTCGCTGGGACTGGTTTGTATCTCCTCTGCTGCAAAATTTAAAAGCTCACCATCTTTTTGCCATTACTGCTAGCTTTTTTTTTTTTTTTTTTGGGTATTAAAAAAGACCATTAATTCTTATTACTATATTCCTAGTGTAGACCTCCTTCCAAATTGAGTTTTGTAATTACCAAACGAAAAAGTAATTTTTTTTCCCCGCTCTGCTAACCCAGCCTCTCCCATGAGCTGTTATTGCTTACACTTGTGACCGGAGGCTGATTTGTGGGCCAGGGCTAGCTGACAAATGACTGATGCTCTCTCTAAAATCAGTGGCTTGTAGCTAAGGAAACCTCGTGCTGCCTCTAACGGAGTACAGCAAATGACTTCTGTTTCGGAGGTTCTGCCTTCCGCTGCTTCCACCTTGGGTGCTGGGGGAAACTTAGCTCCTTTGCTCCCCCTTCCCCATTCCGCCCCTTCTCTCTAGTCTCATCTTTCCACTAAACTTAAATTTTCACATTTTGGAAGGACGCCAGTTAGGGATATAAAAAGTGTAGCTGTTATCTTGTCTTGCTGAGACAAAATGGATCCTTAATGCATTTTTAAAAAGAGATAGCATGTCCTTACAAGAACTGTTGCTTTTTGGTGGGGTAAGAGCATGTATCAGGAATTATATATTTTTAAATAGCATTGACGTATTTATCGGTAGTAGTTTAAATAGGTTTTGCGTGTACATGTCTATCCCAGCCCTACTGAGGTGGATTTAGAATTAGTGTGGTATCGGTGCTGAAAAAATCTGCATATATGACTGTATGGACTGTTTTAGATGGCTAAAATCACATATAGAGTATATTTTATTATTTTTTTAAAAGCAAATAGTTGCCTCGATATTTGAGCAGGCTTCCTGTATTCCAGGTCTACCTACCGCACAAATAAGGCAAGCTAACAAATCGAGTGAACGCAGGTTTGGCAGAGCAAAACCTGCACCAGTGCCTATTACAGATGTACCAGAGGAACGTCTAATAGGTCTCCCTCAACAGAAGAGTTCTGACCCAAAAGTAGACCCCTATTCTGTAGTGGAACTTGGATGTGGTGCTGGATCATCCCCTCGCACTAGGGTTTCGCATAAAAAGGCAACTGAGCAGCCATCCAGTGTGCTGTCGGAGTTTGCGGAGAGCTGCAGAGATGTACCAAGGGAAAGCTGGGATTTGGAAGGTTCTCTGGCCATTGTGAAGAAAAAGAAAAAGAAACCAAAACAAAAGAGAAACCAGCTGCCGAGAACAATGGAGTTCTGGGATGAAAACGTAACAGTCTCAAAAGCTCCTAGAAATCCTCTGTTTGCTGTTGAATTGCAAAAAGCAGATGTCTGTCCCATAGTGCCTCCTGAAGCTCACAAAGAACAGTCAGTTGCCTCGGGAAGCAGAGCTTCAGCTATGCCAAAGGATGCTAAACTAATATCTGGGAGTCATGTCCGGGATGATCAAAATGCTTTCTCAGTGCCAGCACCAGGACAGCAGGCTCAAAAACCCAACGTGCCTTTAGAATCTGTCTTGGATGCAAAGAATGGAGATGTCACGAAAACAGAAGAAATGAGAGATGATGGCTTGATGTTGCAATCTAAAGGCAAAAGAAATGAGGTTCCCTTGGAGCAGGCAGGCAAGACTAAGGTGGGGGAATCTGTTAGAGCAAAGGTGCCCACCAAGCCTGTGGAAAGAGATTTTCTTGATAAAAACGAGAAGACGGAGTCTAAGGAGTCAAAGCATGCTGACCTGACAGCATCTCTTTCAGAAGCGATCAATCTAAGCAAAGTAGAAACTCCTTTTGAGTCCAAATCTCCAGAATTGCTCCTTTCTGACAAAGATAAGGAGGCAAAATGCGCATCTCCCAGGCGTGAAGCATTCAGTGACGCTGTCCGCTGTGAGCTTCAGGCTTCCAGCGGGTCACTGGAAGAAGCAGCAAAGGAAAGAGGTAGTCGTGAAAAAAGCAAAGGGCTTGAAAATGAATCCTTGAAACAGCCCGCTGTTCTAGAGGCTGCGGCTCTGTCCAACAAGCTTCCTAAGGAGCCGGAGGCAGCTGTTGGAACTAAACCGGTGTCCTCTGATGGGTGCATGGCCGTTGACTTCAGTGCTTCAGAGGGAGCGTTGAAGACCCCAACAGATGCTACTAAAATCCCTGTTACACCATTAGTTACACCAAACCCCGAGGAAGTTACTGCTTCGCAAAACAGAAAGGCTGACGGTTTTTCCGAGCAGCCGTTTCTTGTGTTGGCTAAGTCTGATGCAACCAAGCATCCCGCCTCTGCCGAAGCAGTGGACAGAGTGACGGTAGCAGATTCCCCTGATAAAAACAAAGGGAAAGGATTTACTGCGTTAGAGCAGCAGACTGGAAAAGATCCCAGTATTGCACGTGGGATGGACAGACCTAAAAAGAAGCGTGGTGAAGGGAAAGTTAAAAAAATCAAAAGCTTCTCTGAGCAGATGATGCTTTCGGAGGATGTGAGCAAACTTAGTGATGAAGTGAGGACAGATGAGACTATAAAAGAAACAACTGTCCCTGATAAGGGCAGAGGTTTTACTGCAAGAGGACATCCGTCAGTAAGCTTTACACACACTTATCCAACAGACAAGCCAAAAAAAAGAGGTAGCGATGGAAGAAATAAAAAAGGTGAAAAAAGTTTTTTCCAGCAGCCTTTTCTTGAGAGTAAGTTGGACCCAGGTAGTTTTCCTGAAGAATTTGATAAAACTAAGGAAGTTAGTGATAAAGGCAGAGAGAGGGGCTGTATTACTGCTGAGTGTTTTCAGGAGAATATATCAGGTGTAACCAAAATGCAGAGGCCCGTTGAACTGGTAACAGAGGAGCCTAAAGAAAATGTTGGAAAAAACGAACCGGCTGATTTGGGTGCTTTAGACCAACCGTTTCTGCTGGAGAGTAGGAGAGAGGAAACAAAGCATCTTGCTGTGGCTGACACGATCAGCAAAACGAAGGAGGTAAAGCTGATGAGTAAAGGCACAGAGGCTGGAATTACTTGTGCAGGTGACTCGGCTGTGATAAATTCTGATGCCACGCTGGTGGCAGACAAACCTAGGAAGAGGTGTAGTGATGGGAAAAGGAAAAAAAGTGAAAAAAGTCCTTGGGGACAGGCAGCTGTCCTGGATGCTGGGGTGGAAACGAGCAGTTTTCCAAGCAAAGAAGTAGCTGGAAGCACAAAGGAAGGGACCTTTGATAAAGGTAAGGTGTCTGGTTTTGAAAGAGAGCTTTTGCTGGAGAATCTGACAGGAATAACCAAGGAGGTGCTGGAAAAGCCTGAAATACAGGCTGGCAATAGAAGTTTCTCTGATCAGCTGGTTCTTTCAGGTCATAAAATAGAGACAGCAGAGCCAGAAACAGTCAACGCTAAAGAAACTTGGCCCATGAATAAAGATAAGGAATTAGATACAGCCGAGCCTCTCCCAGAGCACAGGACAGACGCAGCTGCGGTGCGTGGTCCCACCGGGGAGCTGGTGATGGACAAACCCAAGAAAAAAAGTAGAGATGTGAAAGGCAAAAAGGCTGAAAATAGTCTCGAGCAGTCTGTTGTACTGGGTCCAGGTAACATCCCTGCAGTGGGTGAAGAGGTGGGAAATATTAAACAAACTCAGGCTTTTGATAAAGGCAAAGAGACTAATTCCAGTACTTTAGCACATCTGCTAGATGAAGTACAGGCTCCTGCTACCCCTCTGGAGCCAGGAAAATCACGTGCAAGTGATAAAGAGAAATGCAAAAAGATGGAGGCCAGCTTGCAGCAACCATGTCTTCTGGAGCCTAAAGCAGGTGCAGAGCTGTTTGCTACTCCTGACGTGGAGATAAGTGGCAAACCTGGAGCAGAAAGTCCTACTCCTTGTAGCAAGGGGGGTGGACTTCCTATCCAAGAGCATCCCGCAGGGGCAGATCACAGTTTGGCCACAGTTACCGATAGATCTAAAAAGAGGGGTGACGATGGGAGTAGTAAAACCGCTAAAAATGCCTCTGAGCAGCGCGTTTCTCTAGAACCAAAAACGAACAGGAGAGAAGTGCAGCCTCCCGTGGGATATGGAGTGGAGGACATGGATTTTGTAGATGAAAACAGAAATATTAAAAACTTTCCTGTTGGCCCTCAAATGGTTTGGAATAATAAAGGAAGTAACTTTGAACCCTTTGCTCAGACTGCAGCGCCTGGCCCTGATAACACCGGCAGCGTTTCCTCTGGCTTCCCAGAGCAGATAGATGAGGGTGCAAGAAGTAAGGGGCTTCCTCCTCCTGAGGCTGTAGCAGAGAGCAGCAGCAACGAGCCTGGATCTGGTGCTAAGAAGGAGATAGAGACGCAGAAATCTGATGAGCAACCGATCAATCTGGGCCAGAAAGAGCCTGGAAAAGAGGTTTCGAAGAAAGACGGTAAAACCGAAGAGGCCGGGTCCCAGGATGGCAGTGAAGCAGGTAAACCGCTTTCTTTGGATTTTTCAGTTAAACGGGACATTAAATCAAAGAAGGACGAAGTTCACCTTTCTGCTGTGGCAAAGGTGGAAGATAAAGAAATCAGACCCACTGATAAAAAGCACAACACTGACAGCACTTCCTCAGACCTTCCTCAGAAGGTGGCAGATCTAAAAACCGGACCAGCTCCTGTAGATGCCAAAGGGATGGAAAAACTAGAAGCAACCGTCCCTTCTGCAGAGAAGGGCGCTGGGTACGTTTCCCCAGAGCTTGCAGCGATACCAGAGAGCAAAACAGCAGCAGCCGTGTCGCAGGTTGTGGCAGAAGCGT